CATGGAAGATTAGATTAGAATTAGGGTTGAGAAAGAAATGGATTGTCAAAACAATATATTAAGAAACAATATATTTGTACAGGGGTTATGTTAATCTTCTCTGTATCGTTTCAATTTTATCAAATGTCCCAAAAAGGACAATGTCAACATTTTTTTTGTAATAGATATAAACAAATCAAAGACAAGTTTACTTAATGTAGTGTGTAACTACTTGTGCATTTCCTTTTATACAAATTAAAAGGTTTAATTTTTTTTGTCCTTAATGATTGTGATTTTTATGAATTAATATGCGATACTAATTCAGGTTGCAATAAATAATAGGGAAGCTTGTCTTTTAAATAAATGGCTGAAAGTTTGATTCAACATTTTAGTGATGAGAGGTTAAAATTATGTTGTGAAAATAATGGATCGTCAAAACAGTGTACTAGAAAAACACAATTATGTGCCACAAGAGTTTCATTAGATAATTCTTATATTGGATGGCTTAGATGTGTAGATAGGTTTGATGAACGGTTGTGATTGAATAACTAAAATGTTACGTTTTGCACAACACTAGCGTGTGGCTTACCCTTGATATAATGAATTGAATATGAATTTAATGAAATTATTGTAAGACTAATTTTGTATTGACAAAATGAAATGAGAAAACTATCATGAATAAATAATAAAATGCTTCAATTGATCAATTAAAACAAAGACACATTGAATCTCAATGTGATGATGTGACTTGGAGATATTTTTTTAGGTCTTGTGGAAGGATGGGTTTGAACAATGAAAACAACATGATTTCAGAACCAATACTCCAATGTCAATGCCATTTTTTCTGGTAATAAAAATTAATGTCATTTTGAAACTTGAACCAACATCTAACTGAATAGAAAAGGTTATGAAACCAACCATTAACATGCATTAAGATTTAGTATTTGGGTTTGCAACAAATTTGATTACTTTAGAATGAGATTCATAATTTGATTAATTTTATGGAGGCTTAAGATTATACCAGCTAAATGATTGAGCTTGTCGATCCAATCCAATTTGAAGAATAGTGATATAACATTATAATACTAGTGTAATAACTTATTGTAACTATGGGGGAAAAGCATTTTGTAACTAGGGAATAACATGTACATGACTAGGATTGTATAATCATTTTAAAATAAAATGGTTGAGATTACAAATCAAGAAGTGTATGTAGTGCTTCGATTCCTTCAGAGAATAAGGGCTTGTTTGGTTATTGTTTTCATTTTTTGTTTTCAAAAGTTATTTTATAAAACAATTTTAAAAACTGTCTTTGAGAACAAATAAAAAAAACTTGTTTGGTAACAGTAATTCAAAAACAGTGATAGAATTTAAAAAAAAACAAAGAAACTTGCTTGGCAAAATTAATATTAAAAATAAGTTCTAAAAACTAAAATATAATAAAACTCATTTGATAAAAATTATTTTGGGATGTTATTTTGCATGGCAGAATTAGTCTATATGTTGCTGCCAATAAAGTATAATTTATTTTTTGGAATTTCCCTACAATTTACAAAATGAGCAATGTTTATAAGAACATAAAAACTTATAAACGTAAAATTATTTGTTTAATTTTTTAATTAAATCAAGATAGACATGTAATTATTTAATATTATTAATACATGAAAATTTATGTATTTAATTTAATTAAATAAAAATATGTTAAGTATATAAAGTTATGCACGTAAGTTTGCTTTTATATATGTGTGTGTGTGTGTGTGTGTGTGTGTGTAATAAAACATTAACAAAAGCGGAAACATTTTTCAGAAAATGAGAAATGACAAATTTATATTATAATAAAATGAGATATTTTAATAAATACTAAAAGAATCTACAATTATTACAATAATTGAGATAGAGATATAGTTAAGCAAAATATGGTAGAATCAATTGAAAATCATAAACCAATTATGTTGTATAAATAAAAAAAGCCTTAACATAAGCCTAATTACAAGGAGATTAAATCGAAAGAAATCAAATAGCATAGCAGCATGAGGTTGAGAAAGACAAAAATGTTTGAATCAGTGATCACCAAAACCATCCTCCTAACAGTGTGGGAATAGAAATAGCATTTTTTGTTTCCCGCTTTTACTCAATAAAAACAAAAAAATAAGAATAGAAACAGCTAAAAGTTGTTTTGGTTTTCTTGTATTTAAAAACAAAAAATTAAAAACTGTTTTCAAAACAAAAATTAAAAACTCATTAACCAAACAAGTTTTATTGTTTTGAAAATATTAAAATAAAAAAATTGTTTTTAAGAATAGAAAACAAACAGGCTCTAAAATACTAAATCTCTCTTTCTTGACCATTGCAATTGGCTAGCTTGCTTCATGGATCACTCTTGAGTCTTGAAGCCATTGAATATTTTCTGAGTCTACATCACATATTTTTGTGATCTCCCACTTCTACCATGTCTCTCTATATTCATTTTGTTGATGATGCATTCAGTGAACTGAGATGGAGAAAAAAGATATGTATATGTAGTTGGAATTGGAACGCCTCTTCCACCACTAAAATTTTAATTAAGATGTGGATCCCATTATACAACTACATGTTCATGTTTACTCTCTTTCTCAATGTACTCTTGTATTTATTTTATGAATATAGAGGATCCTAGGCATAGTTTTTTACTATCAAGAAGGATACACAAAAGCACTTTCCAAACATATCTTATAAGAAATTGTGCCTGCACGGAGTCATGCACCATAATTGTTATCAAGGCAATTCATTTTATGTGTATTTATTTTATGTGTATTTAATGAATTAATTAATTAAAATAGAATATTAAATGTTGAGGTGATGTGACCTATAGATGTTTTTTGAGTCTTACAAATGATTGGGGTCAATGATTAGTTGTCCTACCAATAATGCTACATTCCTTACTTAAAAGAAGTCTTAGGTTTGAACACAGTATTGACATGAACATGTTTTGCGTGGTGTGTATGTCTCTTTTCCATATAGAGAAGGGCTATGTTAAGGGTAAAATTTTAACAAAAATAGTTAGGATTGAACAATTAAAACAACCTTATTTCTTTGATACAAAAAATGTTTTCTGTTCTTGAAAAATAATTATGGTATGCATGACTCTATATAAGATAATATACTTTTATGCTTGTCATAAATGTATTAAACTTCAAGGAGAATTGTACATAGAGCATTAAGATGCAAAGTAATTACACTATAGGCTCTTTCAATTGTAATTGTCAAGGCCCAAGGGCCCTCCTTGCAAATAAGATTTTTGCTGAAAAGATGAAAATGTCCCTGGCACAAGTATATGTTATTTATTGCTAGACATTCACTAATTCACAAATAGAGGTTCAGACATTCACAACAAGAAGTTACATATTCGCTAGCATAGGTTCACATATTTATAATTACAAGTTTATATATTTACAATAACATGGTTCACATATTCATAGTAAAATTTCATATATTCACAACATAATTTCGTATATTCACAACTATGTGTTCACACACTTATAAGTCTAGGTTCACAAGTAGTGAATATGGGAGATTAGAACTAGGGTTTAGAAAACAATGGGCTGTTAAAAGTTGAAACATTAATGTTGTATCAAAACAATGTGCTATTGGAGTTTCATCAATTAAAGAGCATTCCAGTATGCCTGTCTAGTCATCTATTGAAAATGCTTTTTCTCATTCTATATAAGAATGCTTTTATAGCAAAAGCATTGGCTACGGGAGCGTTTTGTAAGCACTCCTGAAGGTAGGGAAAAAAAAAAGCTCTCTCGTAGGGTGGGTTAATTTTTAATAGTGAAAATTTATCTTATATTAAATTGACTTAGATGTGAAAATGTTTGTTCGGTTTTTTGAATGGTTGAGATTTAATAAAATATTATTTTTGTGAACAGCTGAAATGTTATTTCTAAAGCAATATTGGTGCGCTCCTTAGGTGTGATACAATAAATTGACAAAAGAATGGGCACACAAAACTCTGCTGATGAAACATTGTGCTCTGGAAGTTTCATTAAACTTTAACTTACAATGAACGACTCAAACTCATATAGGCTCTGAGTGTGAAAAATAAAGATATACAAAATTTTTGCGTTTTGTTAGTTTAAAAAGGAATATTCAATGTCGAGGTAATGTGACCTATAGGTGTTCTTTTGAGTCTTGCAAATTGTTGGGATCAAACATTTTTTTTTTCGCCAGTTAATTGAACAATTAAAACAACCTTATTTCTATAATACAAAAAATATTTTTTGTTCTTGAAAATTAATTATGGTATGTATGAATTTATATAAGATAATATTCTTTTCTGTTTGACATAAATGTATTAAACTTTAATTGGCAGAAATAAAAAAATGAATGCATCAGATTGTGATCTTATGCAATAATGCATGATGCATTTTGTGAACCGAAAAAAAAAACAAAAGAAAAGAAAGAAAGAAAGAAAGAAAGTAGGTGTTCGAAATGAAAATGATCCAAAATAACAAAAGTGCATGTGAGATTTACTTTTCAAATTGGTGAGTAATTATATTATATTTTAAATTTTACATATTAAAATTTTATCCAAGAAATAAAAAAAATACAAATAAATTTTATAATTTAATACTCAAATTCAAACTAGTCAACATTCAGCCATTCAATCACAAAGTGAGATGAAAAGCCCATGACAATCCATTATCACGATTTTATTCACTGAGGTTTGGATACCAATTCATTCCCAATTTATAATCATATATTTGAAAAGCCAACATCATTATTATATTCAACTGTAATATTATTTAGTAAGTCTATAATATTATAAGGGAAAGCATGCTTTACCCTTTTTTAAAAATTTTAAAGCATAAAAACATAATATTTTCAATATTTAATTAAGTTATATTATTGACAAAAAAAATTATAACAAAACTTGTTGGATATGGATACATAAATTATCACAATTACAACAATTCATTTTGGAAAAATTATAAAAAATATAAAATTTTATCATTTCGAGATGTCTCTTATTTTATATAAAAGTCAATAATTCAAAGATTAAAAAAATAAAATTGAAAAGTTTGAGTATTACAAAAAATACCAAGGGAAAGCATATTAGAGATTCCTAGTTCAAGATTGTCATCTCTTTGGTTTTTTGAGCCTGAACCCGCTAGCAATTTTCTTGAGATTGATAAAAAGAAACCATCCGCGCTTGGCTATAGCTTTGCAAGGGTTTGGCTATAAATCGTTGCAATTGTGTTTTGTGCTTCTTTGTATTTCACCTCCACTGAGATCAAAAAGAAAGAAGAAAGATGCCCTTTAACCTATTGAATAAACATATATTGGAAGGTTATTGAGCTAGAAGTTTTTGAAGATGAACATTGGCAGTGGTGGACAAAGGGCCCTGTGTCAGTGGAGACATAAATTATATAAAATGTAAAAATAATTAAAAAATAAATATTTAATATATAAAATAAATATTTACATATCTTATGAGTTTTCTTTACATGGCTTCATGTTTTGAAAACCATTGAATAATCAGTTTATTGTCGATGGTTTTAAATCATACATAATATCATTATTAGCTAGAATCAATTTCTTACACTCAGTCTTACATTCTCACACCATTCACTTTAATCTGTCTCTCGTCTTAAACTTTGTTTTTTTAGCAAAGGATCTCTCTATCTTTTTGTCTTTTGGTTTTCTTTTAGTTTTTGTATGCTTTAAAGTTTCAGATTTCATTTTTATTAGGGTGATTTATTATTTAGTTTGACTTTAGTTTTGTAAAATATTAAAAAGAAAAATTAAAATTATATTCTTATAAAAGTAATCTACATTTAAATATAATGAATTTAAAATTAAAATCTATCAGGCTTAAGTGAAATATAAAAGATCTAAATATGTTTGAACTCCGATACATTTTAGTTTAGGTTTAATGGGTTCAAAATTATAAGAATAATGGGGGAAAATTTTTAAAACTCCTACCTCCTTGTTGTAATTTTCCCCAAGTTGGGGGTGGGGCAATTGCCTACCCTCAACTATATGTAGGTTCGCCACTAAACATTGGTGTTCATCTTTACCCCTCTTGCCCACTCCACCAAGTTCTATTTTAGTTCAGGGACCTTCCCCACCATGGCATATTCTAGGAATGAAGCCATCTCCCAACCATGGTACACAATCAGTAAAAGCATGACCTGCAAAATTAATGCACCTTTCAAACATGACTCACATATACAAATTATGTTATCAAGCATATGATTTAAGAGGATTTAACAACTATCGCATGTTTTTTGCCCAAAAAGAAATTAACTAGAAACAGGAGCATGAGATATAGGCTATTTAATTTGAACAAATAATTAATCATGGAAAGCAATATCAAGTTTAAAAAGTAACTATTTTCTTATTGCGCATATGTATCTTTTTATTGGAGGCAATCAGGTTTGAGATACCTATGGTCGACTACTAAACGTGGACACATTTTCCAATAAAGATTTGAGCTTGTTCATCACATTACGTGAAACTAATCCCTTATATTAAATCCAACTTTGTTGGTGTCTCTGAAACAAATCTTAAAATCTCACACAATTAATCTTTAAGGGAAAAGTCCCCTACTCCCCTAAAATTTTTCCTCACAAGTGTATGATAAATAGTATTTAGATGATCTTTAAATGAAAGAAATATAAATAATATCAAACAATTCATAGCAAAAAGTAAAAATTTAATATCATTTTAGTATTTTGTTGACTTGATTTCTTTTTAATAAGGAAACCTTGTGTTACTGGCACCTTCATCATCATTTTCATCCACCTTAACTTCAAATTTCATGAGTGATTTCTGCACAAAAACTAAGACAAATAAAATATAATGAAGATACATTTACATAAATATTTGCCTCGGCATTTTATAAATATGAAATTAGGTTTTAAGTAGAGAAAGCAATATCTATGCAGTAAAAAAAATGGCCTATCAAAACCATGTTTTCGTAAAACAGTGCGTTTTGAAAGTTTCAATAAACCACTAAAATTCCATTACAACGGATAACTTACCTAGAGATTTGATATGTAAATGTTAGTTATATATTGTGAATGATTATAATCGAATATTTAAAATAACTTTTTTTGTCTAAAGTAACAACTATGCGGTTTTAAAGCTATATGTAAAGAAAATCAAATATAAATTTAATCAATTTATTGCATATATTTCTTTACAACAAACTTTTTCTATTAATTTAAGCCACTTAAATTTTCTTACAATGGATGACTCACTTGAAGATATGATACGCAAAAGTCTATCATAACTCATGAACAGTTAAGATTGTATATCTAAAATAACTTTTTTCAAAAGTAACACTCACTACAAAAATAAAAAAGATGGATTTAGAGACAGCTGAAAATTCATCTCTAAGTAGCTTAAAATCCATCTCTAACTATTTAGAGACGCATTTAGAAAGAAAATATAAGGTGTCACTAAAAGTGATGTTACTAAATAATTAGAGACGGGTTTTTGTTACTCGTCTCTACTTGAGATGAAATGCTTTTGTCTCTAAATTGAAATTCACCTGTCTCTAATTTCAATTTAAAGTTGTCACCTTATACCTTATAAAGAGGAATACAATTCATCTCTGTCTCTACATTCAGAGACAGATTTTAATCCATTGCTAAAATCATTATATGTAATTTATTTATTTTTTAGAGATAGATTATTCCCTCCATCTTAAAATATTACATACATACATACAAACATACGTACATACATCCATATATATATATATATATATATATATTTCTCTCCCCCATCCCTCCATTATGAGGATCTTTTTCAAATTTTTCACATTAATGACAAATTCAATTTAATAATTAGAAAAAAAAATTATAACAAGAGATATTGCCTTCAATCATGAAATCCTCTAATTTGTGTTAAATACAATGTCTAACATGCAAGAGTTCATAAAAGATGTTACATGGTCTCTTCTTACCTAAGCAACATTGTGCTGCAAATTCTTCAGGAAAAAAATTATTTGCATGAAGAGTTATCAGCTAACACTTATTCCTAAAAACAAAAAACAAAAATGCAATCATAGCTACAAATTAATTAAACTCAAAATGCAATCATCACTTGACGCATATATATCCCTGTAACATAAACACCAAAAAAATAAATAAATAAATAAACCAACTTGATCAATATATATTAAATATAAATATTTTGACAAAGTTAATATAAAAAGAAAGTTAGGAATGTACCAATTTTTAAAGTTATAAATGATCGCTCAAAGAGGAAAAAAGATATACAGGTAAACAAAGTAGCGTGTCTCTAATTGATGAGCCATATACATCAAAATGTAGAATACCCTCTCCATATGGAATCAAAAAAAGAAAAAGAAAAAAGAATACCCTCTCTAACAAATTAACTGTACATGTCACAAGTGAATTGCAACTACATTAGATTAGTTTGTAAAGCACACCATTCAAGTTTTGATTGAGCATTAGATTGAAATACACACATAGAGGTCTGTCCGTCCTCCCTCCCTCCATCCATACATATTATTCTTGGTCACCTGTTCCAATTATCTACAATATTTCCTATTGTTCTTCTGCTATTTCATTCCCACACTATATTGCTCTCAAAGGAAACAAGGCACGTCCTGTTAAAAATCAATACTCTTCATCATATACCTGTTGTGCATTGTTGAAGCAAGAGTTGGGGGTGCATCCTACAATCCTCACTGAGTAAAAACCTTTGTTTGCCAAGAACCTACAATGACCAATGAAACAAAAAAACAAGCAAAAGAAGTCAGTATAGCCAAAGTCAATAACTTGATTACAAATGGCTTAGGATCAACTAATGTAATTAATAAAAAAAACCAAATAACTATAATTATTTATAAGGTACCTTATAGCTTGTCATGTACACCAACAAATGAAAAATACAACTTAAGTGTGTATGTATAAAACCTTATATCCTACAATAACATGTCACTAATTTGTAAGAAACCGTCTGTATGTTATATTTTTCTATTATAATCTATTAATGAACACCTTCAAAAAAGTAATTCATTCTTACCCGACTAATTTTCTCTGTCAAAAGTTGATCAATGCATTGAAATTGTGATAAAACTCCTTCAATTTCTTATAGTCATTACATGAATGTTGATACATGTTCTTGTTTCCCATTTCTATACAAGTTTCAACTCATTTAACTTGAAGACACCTCAAGTTTCTGTATGTATCTCGATGATTAGGCCTTGTGTCTTAGACTTCTACAGATTTGTTCCTTCAAATAACCAAAGGATACATTTACGTGCTCTGAAAAACCCAAAATTTCATAAACTTTTGAATGAATTAAATTTAATTATGACAAATTAATTGACTCAATGTGATTCAAAAATGGATATATATATATATATATATATAGCCTAATCATTGTCTTACCTTTCACTCACGAATGACCTCGGTGGCCTATTCCATTTCTTCCTCAAGTAGGTTTAGGTCATTCATGCTCAAACCATCCAAGCAGTCCCCATCCTCTGTCTGTTCAATTATGCAACCACATATGCCATTAACCAAACAATCTTTATATATACAAGAGAAAATCACTCTGAAAATGACTAGGAGTATCTAATATCTCTGTAAAGATTCTTGTTCACTTCTTTCAGCTTCTTCAAGGTCCCTAACATATTCAGGCGCAACAAACTGATGCCACATAAGAAATTTTGTTATTTAGATCTGGGAAAGTAAAACCACTTAAAAAAAAATAGAGAGAGGAGAGGGAAGGAGGAAGTTAGGGTTTGAGAGTTTGCAGGGAACAGTGAGCTCATTGGCATGAAAAGGAAACCAAACATAAGAATAACAATAACAACAGCATAGATTAATTAGAAATTAAAGGGATTGCAAAATGTGATTTCAGAAAGAAAAAGAGGAACCAAGGTCTGAACTGCACCTATCCAAGAGGTGCGATGCCATTGGGTTTTGTTCTGTATTGCTCGAGCCTTCTTCAATGATCCTGAAGTAGCAAAGGAAGCCGTTTCAAAGGCTTCGCTGGCGGTGGCAACTTTCCACTTGCAGTCCGAAAGAAGAGAGAGAGCGTGATCTGGAGCAATGTGATGGTAAGGGAGAAGAGACAACACGGATATAGAGAGCTACATGACGGCAGAGAGAACTCGCGATGAAACTAGGGTCTTCATATAATATTTTTATTACTGTAAAGTAATTTTTATACATAATATAATATAATATTTTATTTTATTTTATTTACCTAACTTAATCATATTTAGTGCAAATTTGGATTAAAATAAAATAACCTTTAATTTTCTAAGTAACCGCAATTCACAATCTAAACATGAAATCCCTAAACATAGAGGATTGAATTTGGTCAAAAAAAAACATAGAGGATTGAATTAATTTGATTTGATTCTCTCCAAAAATAAAACATAATTATTTTGGTTTGATTTTTTTTATCACTATATTATTAAGCATATACTCCCTCCGGTCCCATTTATAAGTCTCATTTTAAAAGGTGCATTTGGTCCCATTTATAAGTCATGGTGCACCTTTTTAGATAATATTTGAGAGGTATTTTCAAAATTACCCTTCATGAGAGAGAGAAAAAGTAATAGGATATTACTTTTTAGATTTGTTATAGAGGGGTATGTTTGAAATTTTACTTACTTTTATTTTTTGTACTTTTATTGTATTGATATTGATGAGGTTAGTAGAAATGACTTATAAATAGGACCGGAGGGAGTATATCACAATTGTCTCTAAAAAAAACCATAAAAAAGAAATCTAGTGAGAACTTATATTTCATCTCTAGTTTTTTTTTTTTTAAAAAAAAAAAAGATGAGTCTCTAAATTGATTTATAAAATCACATTTAAAAAACAAGTGAGATGATTTTTGATACAAGTACTATTTACTCTAATTATTAAAAGAGTGTGTGTATCTAAGCTCCTCTCTAAATCTGTTTCTATATAACTAATAGAGATCATTTTAGAGACGACCTCATAATCCATCACTAATATTTTAAAAATATATCTCTAAATCCATCTTTAATTATTTAAAAATATTTATAAAAGTACTTAAAATATTTCATATGAAATTCATTTAAATTAGATATAGATTTTAGAGACATGTCTCTAAATCCGTTTCTACTATTTATTTGTCATTTTTTTTTGAATTTAAGTTGTATAATTAACTCAAAAATTCTATTATTTGTCTCTATTAGAGACGGATGCTAATCTATCTCTAAAATGTGTTTCTAAATTAGCTTTTTTTTTTTAGTGACTTATGTGATTTTCAGGCTATATTCAAAGAAAATCAAATATAAATTTGATTAATTTATTGCACATATTTCCTTACAAAGAACTTTTTTTTTATTAATTTAAACCACTCAAATTTCCTTACAATGAACGGTTCACCTCAAGATATGATGTGCAGATGTCTATTATTTCTTTTGAATGGCTAGAATTGAATATCTAAAATAACTTTGTCTAAAGTAACACTTATGTGGTTTCCAAGTAACATTCAAAGAAAGCATAAATTTAATCAATTTTATTGCACAAATTTTCACAACAAACTTTTTCTATTGATTTAAGCCACTCAAATTTCTTTATAATAGAGCAGTTCATCTCGAGATATAATATGTTGATGTCTATTATATCTTTTAAAAGTTTAAAATTGAGTATTTAGAATAACTTTTTTCTAAATCACCACCTATGTGGTTTTCAAGCTATATTTCAAAAAAAAAAATCAAACATAAATTTAATCAATTTTTTGCAATTGTAATTAATTTATTCTTTTTGTATGTGAACAGAGTTTAATGTTTTAATTTTGGAAAATAATTATGGTTTATAGAAGTAGGGTAGAAGTAATTAGGTCACAAAACATCAATTTAACAATAATTTGGTCCTAACTTTTTTTTTGAAAGATTAGTGAATATGAATTTAGAATAATACAAATAAAATGTTTAAATCTTATAAGTTATTCACTATTATGTTCAATTCACATTCACCTATTTTGTAATTGTTGTAATAAATAATTACAACTTAACTAACAGTTTGAGATATGATGTCAAAACAATGGGTTATCAAAATCGTGTTTTAGTAAAACAATGCCTTAAGAGTGTAATAAAAAATACTCAAATTTTCTTACACCAAACAGTTCATCTCAAGATGTGATATGTATATATTTATTATATTTTGTGAATGACTAACATTGAATCTTTAAAAATAAGTTTTTCAAAAGTAACACCTATATAATACGTAAGTTTATTCTCAGATTCCTTACAATATTTATGTTAAATTCAATATAAGTATATATCTTTATTGAGCAAGTATTAGTAGTCACTTTTTTTAGGTTTGTCATTGTGACATATTCAACATCAGTGAGCCATTGTGTCTCCTTGTGACACGGAGTCTTTTCGTTGCTTATTGCATGAATTTCACCATTGCTCTCATGCATCTTAACCAATTATTATATTCGATGTGTTTTTTTTTTTCACTGTTAGTAGCCTATGTGGGCTTTCGTTTTTGTATCTTACTTTATTTTTATTTTTTTAATGTTGTTGGCCCAAGTTGTTCTATCCAATTATTACACTTTTTAATTTTTGAAAAATTGTAAAAAATATAAAATCTGACCATTGCAGGATTTGAAGATATTGAAATGTCTCTTATTTTATGTAAAAATTAATAATCCAAAGAAACTAAACAAAATCAAGAAGTTGGGATATTATAAGAAGTATTATTGAAAGGTACATTAGAGATTCCAAACTCAAGATTGTCATCTCTCTCGTTTTTCAGCTTCAACCCCTAGCAATTTTCCTGAGATTGTCATCTCTCTGGTTTTTAAGCTTGAACAGCTAGTAATTTTCTTGAGATTGTCATCTCTCTAGTTTTGTTGGAAGTAGACAATATCTACAGTTGAGTACTATCACAAGAACATGCATTGAGAATTTGCTTCTGAACTCCGTAGGCAATCTCAAGATAATTGATTTTGGATTGAGCAGTGTCATATGTGAGAGGGTCACTTTCTCCAAACCAATTATGGTAGCCCAAACAATGCTGCTCCAGAGGTTAACTTGCAATTAATTAAATCAATTACATATAAACTGATGACATGTTCAAGTACATTTTTCATTAAAATAAAAATTGATTAGTTAAATCAATTATTGTGTTGTGAAAATTATCTAATTTCTACTTTATCTATTTCTATTACTTTTTTTTTTTTTGCCAATACTACATCTATTTCTATGACACTACATCTAATGTCGTGAAAATACGATTTTGCACTAGTGATGACTCCACATAATATCTCTGTATGCGTCACTTATTGGATATTAAATGATATTTTCAAAAAAAAATTATTATCTTTTAAAAATTGTAAATACATTAAATATAGTAAAAGACTTTCGCAACTTGAAAAAAAAATGAACTAAAACAAGAATATTCCTTCCATTTCTATATATAAGGAAAAAAAAATCATATCAAACAATTTGAAAAAAATTAATTAACTATAATAATTATGTCTAAAAATAAAGAAATTGGAATAAAATAGCTTGTGCTAATCAACATTAGCATGCATTAATATTTCTTATTAATGTAAATAATGAGGGATAATTTATAAAATTTGTAATAAATATTTATTGAGATATATGATTTTACTTATAAAAAAATAAATCAAAAGTAATTGTTTTTATAATAATTAAAAACAAAGAGAATATTTCATGAGCTATCACCTTTAGGCTATAGAGAAAATCAGACACACAAAGCAAATATATAGGGCATTTCATCATGCTTTTCTAGGAAGGTAGCCATCTCCTAACCATGGCACACAATTTGTAGAAGCGTGACCTACAAATTAATGCACCTTCCAAATATGACTCACATGCATGGATTATGTTATCAAGCATATGATCAAGAGGATTCAACAATAGCAGCATGTTTTTGCCCAAAAAGAAATTAACTAGAAAGAAGACGAGATATGGGCAATTTAATTTGAACAAATAATTAATCAAGAAAAGCAATATTAGGTTTGAAAAGCAACTATTTTTTTTATTGTGCATAGGTGTCCTATTATTAAAAACAATCTTGAGACAGGTCGGCACTAAACATAAACACTTCTTCTCTTAACAAGAATCTGAACATTGATTCATTACATTATAAGTGATTAATCTTTTATGCTAGACCCAAACTGTTTAGTATCTCTTAAAAAGCTTAAATTCTCACACACAATCAATCTTTAAGTTGGAATGTCCCCTAATCCCCTAAAATCCTTATGTTTAGTGATGTATGATAAATAGTATTTAGATGATCATTGAATTAAAAGGAATATAAAAATATACCAAATAATTCATAACAAAAAGTAAAAATTTAATACCTTTTTTGGTATTTTATTAATCTAATTTATTTTTAATAGTGAAGCCTTACATAAGGCATCACCATCTTCATCTCCATGGGCTTCAAATTTCATGTGTGATTTCTCAATGAAAACTAAGACAAATAAAATATGATGAGGATGCATTTACATAAATCTCTATCAGTTTAGGATCCGTTTGGATTTCAGTTGGGTATAATAAATTATAAAAATAATTGATTAAGTGATAGATTTTAATCATAATTGATTATATTATAACGTAATCTGTTTGGATACTGTTTTTTCTAAAATTGATTTTAACAAAATTGAAGATATTTGGATAATTTAATCAAAATTAATTTTTAGCTATATAAATTATTATATAATTTAATTTTTAAATGTCAAATATTAATTTTTTAAATATACAAAGTTTAAATTTTATTAAGGAAAAAAAAAAGAAGAGAGTTTAATTTTATTTTTATTAAATTATATGCTTTCTTTGTAATTTTTTCTTGGGCCTGTCTTTGTAATTTTCTCCAATTTTTTGGACAAACTTTTATTAGAAAGCTGATCAAAGTAGCTTATGGAAAAACACGCGTATGGGCTCAGAATCGATTTTATCCTTTTCTGACCATTTGGCTAATTTACTGGAAAAATCAATTTTGGGAGGGAAAAATTGATTTTTTCCCCTATCCAAACACACGGTTAATATATAAGCTAACTACATTTTATATATGTGAAATTAGGTTTTAGGTTTTAAAAACAATATGCCGTCAAAACAATGGACTATCAAAACCATGTTCTAGCAAAAC